TTATAGACGTGGCCGCCATAGAAAGTGCGACCGAAAATGAACTTTGGTGACTGATTAGGCAGGCTCTTCTTATAAATGTGTTTAAAAGCATGAATTTAATGGTGAAAGTGAAAACTATGAAGAAATGTAGAAGTCGTTGTGTCCACTGGATCTATTACGTCTCTGTGTAACTTTGTGTCCAACACCTTGTGCTTTAAGATTACTTCTCACAAGCTGCTCCGACATGGAAGACTCCCTGGACGACACGTCGGATCTCTTCTCTCATCCAGATTTGTGGGAAAATCAAAGCTTCTTGTTCAACATGACGGCTGCCAACAAAAGCTCTGTTTTGGAGGCCACCATGTCGCCGGTGATGAATACAACCATCAACATACTCATGCTAATCATCGTTTTCATCACGATGGTTTCGCTGGGATGCACCATGGAGTTGTCCAAGATGAAGGTGACTTCATCGATGTCCATCTGTGTTTATAGACAGGCTTTACCATCATGTGGAGATGTCTGTACTAAAGCATCTTTTCCTTCTTTCCAGCGTCACATAGTGAAACCTAAAGGGGTGGTGATAGCAGTGCTGGCACAGTATGGTGTCATGCCTCTAATAGCATTTTGCCTGGTTAAGGTTGGTGTTCCTTTTTAATAAAAAAAATCTTTAAACATTTATTTACTTTTATTTGTATTTTACAATACAGGAAGTGTGTGAGGCCTCCTCCTTTCATTGCTGTTTTCTTTACTTCCACATATTTTCAGCCCAGGCATTACTATTACACATTGTTATCAGTAATGGACACGGGCAACACAGTCAGGCATCCAATCACTGTATGAATTCATGATATCGTTTCACTCCGTAGGCCTTCCAGCAGACTGGAATCACGGCTGTGGTGGTTATGATCTGCGGCTGCTGTCCTGGAGGAGTCCTCTCCAACATCATGGCCCTGGCTCTGCAGGGAGACATGAACCTCAGGTGCACGCCAACAACCTGTTTGGTGTAGCATAATTGTTCTGACCAACAAATATGCTCCAAAAAATAATAACTGAGGTGACGTCGGTGGCTCCTGAACCTTTTGTGGGCTCAGTAGTATCAAGTAGTATACTTGAAATGATATCACATCACTGAATTTTAAGTATTGATGTGTAAGCATGTGTGACGACCCTCTCTGCCTGTTCGTTTGGCTGCCTTCCTTGCAGGTGTGGAGGTGGGTGTGGCAGAGGGTCGTCAGGCAGAGTGGAAGCAAGCACCTGAGGCCATTTGCAACACTGGCCCCGTGTGCCAGAGCACTCAGTATAAAAACCCTCTGGATTCTTAGTTGGTCTCTCGCTCCTTCCTGAGACACCCATTTTGGTTTTGGTTGCGGTTATGGTTTGTTTCTACACTATACAACACTGCATATACACTTTACACGCACCCACTCACTTACACTGCTGAAATGACTGACTTCACATGTCACTGTGCACTGAAGGCACCAATGACTGAAACAGATTCCATGCAGACAGTGATAAATGAGGCTTTTTTTTTGTTGTTTCAACTAATCAGTCACAACAAATGCTCACAAACATCAGAATAAACACATTGTTTTAGAGTATTTCAGGCTTGTGTTCATGAGAGTATGAAGGGGACGTGTTGTTGAGCAGCTACAGGACAATACACTTTGTAAACCTTGCAAAAGCCTCACATGCACACTATGAAGGCCTTAATGTGCACAACACCTCACATATTTAACAACACACTGTCAAGTTTGCTGAGACGAGGGAACTTGAAATGCAAAGACGCTGATTCATCTCCAGGTTGTAGGACTCATTCCTGCAGCACTACTGTACTCGCTGTTCAATAGAATTAAAGATGTTTTTTGTTTTTTGAAGGACTTTTCTTCCATTTAAATCTGAGGATCAAAGTGTATTCTGATGAAAAGCTGCAGATCAGCGTGTTGGTGACATTGCTTTCCCAAGGGTTGTTCAAGGGGACATTTTGACCCACCTGGTGGGCTAAACAAAAAGGTCATGGGTCACCAAACTAATAAGGAGTCAAAGATTTGTACCACATTTCCTGGCAGTCTTGCTGAGGTTGGGACAAAGAAAGTTATCCCCCCCACCCGTGTCTTTCCCCTCAGCATTTTGATGACGTCCTGCTCCACGTTGCTGGCTTTTGGCATGATGCCTCTGCTGCTCTTCCTCTACTGTCGGGGCTTCAACCTGCAGAATGTCGTACCCTACGTCGACATCACCATATCGCTGGTCATGATCCTCATACCCTGCGGCATCGGCATCCTCATCAACCACTACAGGCCGCAGTACACCAAGACCATCTCAAGGGTTAGTGCATAGACAGGAGGGTAATGATAGGCTAGATTTTCCATGATTCATTTATTGTTTCAGTCATTTATTGATCAAAAATTTGTAAAAGATTTGCTGACGTTCTCACTTATATCACTGTAATTTGAATATCTTTGGGTTTTTGGAGTGTTGGTCAGAGGAAACGTCTGCACCCAAGGCCATTGGCGAGCACTAAAGACATGTATCTCAAAAACAGATCGTAAATGTACCATTTTCAATAAAGGCTCAGTAATTTCCTTAAACAGTTGTATAGTATTTAGCAAATTTTACTCAGACGTAAACAGTGTGTTTTTCGGGACTATTTTCAGCGGCAAATAAATACACATTTGGAGCTTTTGTTAAACAAGCCACAGTGCTCAAGTCCATGGCACTAAAGGAACATGTCACACAGTGTTTCCAAAAGCTGTGGATGTCTGTGGAGCGGTGTGTCACACGGGATTTTAGTAGAAACCAAATTAAAGGCAAATTAATCCAATGTGTCTCCTGTTCTGCTGTTCTCAGGTGGGCCTCACTTTCATGGTAATTGCTGTGTTGGGGGTCCTCATCGTTTGCACTTTTGCCGTCGGAAGCTCAGTCCTGACGGTGCTGTCTCCTCCCCTCATGGCCACCAGCGCTCTCATGCCCTTCATAGGCTACTCCTTCGGATACATCATCTCCTCGATCTTCAGACTCAACCAATCGTGAGTCATTTGGTTGAAATATATTGTGACGGGTGGTGTTAACCATGTCAGAGAATAAAGAACCTTCCTTTATGTATCCGTGACTTATGAATCAGGGAGAGGAGGACCGTTTCGATGGAAACAGGCTGTCAGAACGTCCAGGTGTGCTCCACCATTCTGAAACTGGCCTTTCCCGTGGAGGTGATCGGCCCTTTGTTCCTGTTCCCCATGGTCTACGGAGTCTTCCAGATTGTGGAGGCGGGGCTACTCATCCTGCTGTTCAGGTGTCACCAAAGATTCACACTCAACAAGAAAGGTGAGACTGACCACAGGCTTTTAATCAGAATCAGCTTTATTGGCCATGTATGTGTACGCTCTCGATGTACAAACAGATGTAGGTATAAACATTTAACAGCTATATACAATAGAAGTATAAATATATATCCAAAAAAAAGTGTGTGTGTGTGTGTGTGTGGGTATACACAGGTGCTGGTCATATAATTAGAATATCATCAAAAAGTTGATTTATTTCACTAATTCCATTCAAAAAGTGAAACTTGTCTATTATATTCATTCATTACACACAGACTGATATATTTCAAATGTTTATTTCTTTTAATTTTGATGATTATAACTGACAACTAAGGAAAATCCCAAATTCAGTATCTCAGAAAATTAGAATATTGTGAGAAGGTTCAATATTGAAGACACCTGGTGCCACACTCTAATCGGCTAATTAACTCAAAACACCTGCAAAGGCCTTTAAATGGTCTCTCAGTCTAGTTCTGTAGGCTACACAATCATGGGGAAGACTGCTGACTTGACAGTTGTCCAAAAGATGACCATTGACACCTTGCACAAGGAGGGCAAGACACAAAAGGTCATTGCAAAAGAGGCTGGCTGTTCACAGAGCTCTGTGTCCAAGCACATTAATAGAGAGGCGAAGGGAAGGAAAAGATGTGGTAGAAAAAAGTGTACAAGCAATAGGGATAACCGCACCCTGGAGAGGATTGTGAAACAAAACCGATTCAAAAATGTGGGGGAGATTCAGAAAGAGTGGACTGCAGCTGGAGTCAGTGCTTCAAGAACCACTACGCACAGACGTATGCAAGACATGGGTTTCAGCTGTCGCATTCCTTGTGTCAAGCCACTCTTGAACGACAGGCGGCGTCAGAAGCGTCTCGCCTGGGCTAAAGACAAAAAGGACTGGACTGCTGCTGAGTGGTCCAAAGTTATGTTCTCTGATGAAAGTAAATTTTGCATTTCCTTTGGAAATCAGGGTCCCAGAGTCTGGAGGAGAGACACACAATCCACATTGCTTGAGGTCCAGTGTAAAGTTTCCACAGTCAGTGATGGTTTGGGGTGCCATGTCATCTGCTGGTGTTGGTCCACTGTGTTTTCTGAGGTCCAAGGTCAACGCAGCCGTATACCAGGAAGTTTTAGAGCACTTCATGCTTCCTGCTGCTGACCAACTTTATGGAGATGCAGATTTCATTTTCCAACAGGAATTGGCACCTGCACACAGTGCCAAAGCAACCAGTGCCTGGTTTAAGGACCATGGTATCCCTGTTCTTAATTGGCCAGTAAACTCGCCTGACCTTAAGTACACATTGTGAAGAGGATGATGTGAAATGCCAGACCCAACAATGCAGAAGAGCTGAAGGCCACTATCAGAGCAACCTGGGCTCTCATAACACCTGAGCAGTGCCACAGACTGATCGACTCCATGCCACGCCGCATTGCTGCAGTAATTCAGGCCAAAGGAGCCCCAACTAAGTATTGAGTGCTGTACATGCTCATACTTTTCATGTTCATACTTTTCAGTTGGCCAAGATTTCTAAAAATCCTTTCTTTGTATTGGTCTTAAGTAATATTCTAATTTTCTGAGATACTGAATTTGGGATTTTCCTTAGTTGTCAGTTATAATCATCAAAATTAAAAGAAATAAACATTTGAAATATATCAGTCTGTGTGTAATGAATGAATATAACAGACAAGTTTCACTTTTTGAATGGAATTAGTGAAATAAATCAACTTTTTGATGATATTCTAATTATATGACGTGTGTGTGTGTGTGTGTGTGTGTGTGTGTGCGCGCGTGTGTGTGCGCGCCACACAAAGTAGTTTCGGTTTTCATTCCAAGTTATTTCTATATTCTGGTTGCAGCATCCCCAATGTGAGGATTATGTACGTTTATGTAGTGCAGTAAGAGGAATTATGTCAGAAACGTCTAACACAATTTAGTTCAGAGTCTAGTATCTTGCCAGTTATTGATATTTGATACAATTATAATTTTTATATATTTAGAATGCGGACTTAATGCTCCGGAGTCTGTTGTTATAGCGTAAAGCTAATAAAAATAGTTTGCATTAATAATCTGCTTGTCTGCCTGACCTACAGAGAAATACCAGCCAGCCATCACTGAGGACCAAAAGAAAGAGGCCTCTGAGGAGAGTGTATGACGGACGCATGTAAATATAATTTTTACTAATGTGAACACTTTCTGACCAAAGTGTCTGCTGCAACTCTAGCAACAAATGATGTATAACTGCAGGACATCCATTTTGTGCCAAGTCCTTTTTGATTATGAGATTTATACGTATAACCTGAATTTATCTTTGTATATTTTTCATTGTTTCAGTCCACCATAGAAACATCCATCATATTTTTCACTGAAAATAAAATCCTTACGTACAAAAATGTTGCTTTTTTTGTTTTCAAACTCTTGTCTACAAGTTCATTTAAACCACAGTAACAGACACAGTACCTACACACATTCTTGGAATTACATTATACACACTGTATGTAAAACAAAAGTCAGCAATGCTGTACACAAAACCCTAATCCAAAAAATAAAAATGTAATTACAATGCTAGAATAAACTGCATTCTTTAAACAACATTTTTGAATGTTGAAATCAAAGTGTTGACCTTATCCTCAAAGTAGTTTTACATCTGCCATCAAAATAAAAGTGGACAGTCAACGGCAAGAAGATGTAAGATCCATCACATTAACAGTTCATTTACTGTACAGCTGTTTAACTGTTGAACTCTGTGCACATCTGCAGTGTTTCTTGATACTGCCAATAATACAACTCTAAATTTTGATCAAACAAAAATCACATGCAGGTATAGATATCTCACACACACACACACACACACACACCAGCTGTCCAAGCTACAGTAGGTCAGAATACAGAAAAAATGAGGCCTCCATTTCAGACTACACTGGAAGGGCCCCATGCAGTCACCATTAGAGATTTGTTTTTGTTCTTGCCATTGTTGTCAGGGCATGACTTATGAAGGGGAGGCGAGGGGGTGCACTGGCAGATACACCATCAGATTAAGGGTATAGAATACTTTCTCTCTGCACATAAAGTGCCTTGGGTGAGCATATAATCTAGTTTAAAATGCAGTTCTGTCAATTACAACACATGCTGTCCAAGCAAACAAATTCACAAGAATTTAACTTCCAAGTGTTTAATAAAAGTATCAGTTTCGCTTTCATAGAAATAGAAACCGATGAGTTTAAGTGCCGTCACCATCACTGTTTTGTAATTGTATGACCAAAGGCTTTGATGAGGTGTAAACTACAATACTTCATCTATATATTTACAGTAAAACAGGAAATTCTCAGGAAATAAAATGAGAGTTGTGAAAAGGACTTCTGCTACATTATTTTAAATACTTGTGTGTAAATTAAACCTCTTTTCATTTTGATTTTTGTGTAATCTAATGGCTGTTGGGATGTGGTGATGAACTTGACATAGATGTCATTTTGTATGTATGGGAGATCTTAATTCATTGAATTGGATCTCTTGGGGCTTGGTGTTTTTAGATTCGAAAGAAGTTTTCCTGCCTTCAAGAACGCTACTGTTTGTGTGTTAGAACCAGTTTTACCAGTTTACTCAAACTATTCTTTATCCCATTGTTGCATCAGAGGATGACAGGCGCTGGGTTTATTTGTCACTGGGGTAGAGACTTATTTACACGTTCAACTCTTTATGACTCGTCAGGATTATTCACCAACAGGTCAAACCAGGTCAAACCAGATCATACAACAATTCAGTTGTATCAGAAGTGAGGAGTGATTGCTGTAAACCTCTCTCATGTAATACTCAAGCTGCAGAAATCAACAGTTGCACTAGATGGCACCTCTGTACAGCCAGTAGCCTCCATGTGTCATTTGTGACCTACAGAAAAGAGAGCGCAAACACAGGCTGAGTAGATTCTGTTCCAGAGAGAGAGCAGTAGAGAAGAGGAACATCTGGCCCAACAGGTAACAACACAATATATGAAATATAGCTCTGAACAAATCTGTCAGTTTTACACTTCTAGCAGGGATAAGTGTTTGTTTGTCTGGTGAATCCTCTCAGGAGGCGTTTTCTTTTATTTTGGTTCAACTGATCTCCAGGAATAGGTGTGCAATTCTCACCTTCGGAACAGTCGAGAAGTCAGTATGCAGTTGAGTGACACATTCATGAAGCTGTGGGGTCTTATCTTTTCATGCGTGTGTGTGTGTGTGTGTTTTTTTTATGGGTGCAAAATAGATGAGAAAAATACTGTGAAGGCAATTTACCTGCACACAGCATGAGAGCATGCCAGTCAGGAGGATGTGGTTGGTTCTTTCGGCATCGAAGCACAAACGACGGGGAGGAAGAACGCAAACGCCAGATTTAAGTGACTTGTTGCAGAAATATGTGTTTTTCGTTGGAAAGTAAAAATATAAAACAAGCATATTGTAAAAGTAAATTGAGAAGTGTTTGCGTCTCTTATTCTGTTTGAAATGACATATCTAGAAATGGCTTATCGTGATCACTTTAATTGGATATCTACAGCAGAACGCACGTTGTTGATATTTGAAATGAATTAAGGTTACTGATGAAATCGTGTAACCTTTTATTGAAACATGCTTCCGGAGTTCTTTCCAGATTTCTTCAAGCAACACATCTGTATATAAACTTTGAATAAATGGTTTATAATGCACTAAAATGTAGTTGTAAGCATTTATTAATGATAAGAGAATTAAATATATTTCTAATAATGTGAAGATCACACATATCTATCAAGTTATTTCTCTTTATAGGGTATTGGATTTGTAAGTTTCTTGATATTGAACCAAAATTTGAACACATTTGGAAATAGTCTTAGCCACCAGTGAAAAAACTTGACTTCCTTTATAGTTGGAGCTTATATGTTTCAGACTATATGGCTAAACTACATTTAATGTCTGGTGAAAGATTCTCAAGATCATAAAATGTGTACTTTGAACTGAATGATAATGCTCGCACTGCAGAAAAGCACTGCTTTCTAACACGACAGCGACCCATCTGCCTGCTCAAACCCAATGAACGCTTCATATAAAACAACGCAGAGCACACAGAGAAGTATGCAGAGTTATTTATTAAATTGATAAAAGTATCTGACTTCAGGATCTCAATATTTCTGGAGAGGACAGAGTGCATGTTGCGTTTTCTTCTTATCTAAATGACCACAACGGTTGTAAGATTAAAAAGAATAGTTTAAGAGATTGGGCAGCACTTTCTATG